CAGACGGTAACAGTTCAAAAAAGTTATAAGCAGGATGGGAAGAGTCTCTCAGGATGCGGTGTGACTTCCTCAGACAGCGGGATGTGAAGATGTCATCCAGGGTTGGTAGCTGGAGCCCGATGATATTCTGGGCAATTTTAATGGTTCTCTGTAGAGCTTTTTTGTCCGCTACAGAGCTACTCCCAAACCATGCCAGAATGCCATAGGTTAGGACACTCTCAATGGTGCTACGATAGTATGACAGAAGTAAATGCTGAGATAAATTTAACTTGCCGAGCATTCTTAGGAAATATTTTATTTATTTATTTATTTATTGGACTTACATACCGCCCCATAGCGCTACAAGCACTCTCCGGGTGGTTTACAATTTTTAATTATACAGGCTACACATTGGCCCCCCCAGCAAGCTGGGTACTCGTTTTACCGACCTTGGAAGGATGGAAGGCTGAGTCAACCTTGAGCCGGCTACCTGGGATTTGAACCCCAGGTTGTGAGCACAGTTTTAGCTTGCAGTACAGCGTTTTAACCACTGCGCCACAAGGCCTCTTCTGTGCCTTCTTCATTAGCATGTTGGCATTTATAGTCCATGAGAGGTCCTCTGAGATGTAAGTACCCAGAAATTTAAAACTACCAACTCTCTCCACTTCCTCACAAAGGGCACTCATATATAAACAGGAGAAAGTAAAAAGGTAAAGAGATCATGGAAGGAAGAGACACTTTTGTGATGGTAACCTGCAAAGTGTGTGTGAAGTGTTATGTTTGTGCTTGAGAACAACAGTGTACACATGCAGCAACTGCAGACTGGTTGCAACACTGGAAGAAAAAGTGAAAGAACTGGAGCCAGCACGTGGCTATACTTAAGGCTATAGAAGATGAAGTGTACGTAGACAGAACACTCAAGTAGCAGCATCCAGGAGAGGCACTGGAGCAATCTAAAGCAGAGGAGAAGAAAAGTAAGGAGACATTTATCATAGTGGAGGAAGCAGTTAGGAGCAAAAAGAAGGAGGAGGCACTCTTCACCAGCGGAACTTTAAAACTGCTTTCAGATTCTTGAAGAGACGTCTGTTAGACAGCATGCAGAGGAACACATACAGAAGAACCTATGAGAGAGGGTGAATTTCAGCCAAGCAGAGTCACTGAATCCACACCCTACAAAAAAAAGAGGAGGAGGAGGAGGCTCCCTACTTCGTAGAGATTGAAACCAAACATACCAGGAAGATCCTTAGATCTTGAACAGGACGCCAACAGACTCAAGCAAGTTTCAGAAGAGGGCAACAAGGATCAGGAGAGTAGGAACCAAGCCCTATGAGCAATGTTCCCTCTAAGCTGCACAGCTCTGCAGCAGTCACATAGAGCTGAGACAGTATTGCCACCCATTTTATTTTAGCTGCAGCTGGAACTCCATAGGACTACACTGTCAATCAACTAATTTTGAAGGGCCTCATTAGTAGCAGTTTTGATCTGTGGACAATGATGGATTTTCCAGACAAATTTTGAGAACAAATGTTATCTTCACTAAATCAATTTGAAATCTGATTTAGTACATTTGTACTAATTGATTTTATGAAGCACAGGATAGGATCCAGACAAACATTTCTATGGTGGTTACCCATCCTCATCTGCTTTTATATACCTTCCACTTTATTTGAGTGAAACCCCATCCCCCGACTGTTGGGGTTTCACAAGAAGGTATGCCAAGGAAAGGATGGAATAGAGAACTTGGTTTCTGCGAACCGTTTAAATGTTTCTCTGGATCTAGTACAAGGCATTTTAAAAATTGATTTGCAGAAAAGTATAGCAGTGAAATGTCTCCCACCTTCTGTCTCTACCAGTGGTGTCGTGAGCCAAAGTCTTGGTAGGCTTTTTATGATTACTGGCTTCCACACAGCACTCCCATGCCCACAGTATCTGCTTTGGAGGGGCAGAATACCTTCCAGAGCAGAGTTTTTGTGGCATCAGTTGCTGGCAGCAGAGGGGGAGGTGGAGAAAATCCCAATCAGGGCATGGGAGGGCCTATATGGGAGGAGAGGTTCCTCCTCCTGGTTCCATTTCCAGAACTGCTTCCATCGGCTCTTGGTTCCTGGCTTCTGTCTCTATAGTGAGTAACCTGCCATATACCATTCCCACAAATATTGATGGCCAAAGAAAGTATACATTGTACTTGCTAGTTTTGTAGCATATGATGCAGCTCCTAGAAATAAAAGGATGTTAATGTGATGTTCCCAGAAAACAAAGTTTGTGTTCTAGATATTGGTTGGAATTTTGTTGCATACTGTATTTATATGGGTGTTGGCATAATGTTGAGCAACCAATTGCTGCAGGTTAAGAAGTCAGCATAGGCATTTTTGTCATACACTGTGTCATGCAGCTGGTGTGTGGTAGGCATTTCTTGTGTCAACATCTTGATATATGTTTCCTTGAGTCCTTTATCTGTGGACTTCTGTAGAATCTTATATTTATTTTTGATACATTTATGTTTCATATTATTTTATTTATTGCATTTGTATGCCACCTTTCTCCCAAAGCAATTGTGGTAGTGTTATAGTTTTTACTTTTTGGATGCATTATGCGTGCTTTCCTTCCCTGTAATAGCTACAAATTGTGTTAATATATTCTAATGATAGGAGATACATTTTTCATACAGGAATAAATTAATCAAATCACATGAGGCTGTTCATATGAATTTTATTTTTATTTTTGGAATTATTCATTGAGAGTAATTTTCCCCCTGATTGTTTTAAATAGTCTTATCTACTGAGCTAAAAACTCCATTCTGTTCAGCGGACCTTGTTCTCTGTTAAGCCTGTGTCTGAGAAGAGATGTGGCAGTGGTTTGTCCTGTGATGTGTGTTTATGTATTTAACTGCTCTTTCTAGCATCTCTTGCTTTCCGTTTCCATTTTATGGTTGCCAGGATAATTGAGCGAAGAAACCCACAACAGTTACAAACCTCAGGAATAGTAGGAAATGAGTGGAATTTTTTGTTACACCTCATTTTTCTTTTATTTTCACACATACATTCCTTGGGTTTTCAGTAGATGCAGACTACTGTTTAAAAATACCTTCAGATTAAGTGCCTGGAATTTCTAACTGGCATCTCAGTTTTCAATTTTTATGAACCAAAATTATTTTTAACAGTTGGCAAGCACTTTTTTGTAACTGGTGATTGTTTCAAATGTGGAGGTCTGTACTAATCACTCTGCTAAACTCCTTGGCTTTTAATTATTTTCCTTTTATGGTTAATGTTAGAGTTCTACAGGTTTCCACATTAACAGAGGATAGGAAACAAGGAGATTTTGTTAGTTGACAAGCTTGAAAAAGAAATAATTTGTAAAGTCATTACTACCTGTGTAAGAGGAAGGTTACATACAAATGAGATTGTATTCTTATCTGTAGCATACTTTGTGATGGCACCACATGTAGAAAATCATATAGTAGAGCCTAGTCCTCCCTGTGCTGTGTACAAATTGCTCTTGTAAAATAACAGCACATCGAAGCAGCCTTTAAGTGACAGATGTTCTGTGTTGAGTGACACTTGCTTCCCTGAGTGATAGATTCAGCATCGTTTCCCTTTTACCTAAGTAGGTTAACATTTTCTGAATTCTGGCAGCCAGTATCTTCTTTTCAGGTCCTTCTTGTGCCTCAACTCTCTCTTTGTTTAGATACTGTTTCAGACTCCTTTGTAGTGTTTCGTATTACTGAGTAGAGAAATAGGGCAACATGGAGAGTTACTTGCAAGCTGCTTCCCAGATACATAGTACTACCTAAACAATCATGACTTTTTTTGTCTTGCTTTATACTGACCTATAATAAGAGGTGTATTTATGATAGTTCTTCTCTACCTCAGTTATGGTCTCCTTAAGTCATGCTGCAATACACTTCAGAAATGGTTTATGTAATCCAACATTCTTCCTCGTGGCCTCTCTGAATCACACTCTGGGTGATCCGTGCATGTGCAGAACCTTGTTGGATCAGAAAAGATACATTAGTACAAGCCCACTAGTATATGTACCTTGACTCTAAGGCTCTCCCTTCAGTTTATCTACAACTGCCTCATTGAGAGCCTTACTCGTAGCTTCTGTGATTTTTTTTCTCTGAAAAAAAGGGAAAAGAAAACCCTTTATTGTTTATTATTATTTTATTCTGATTTCTTTGCCAACTATTTGCTTCAGCCTTCAGGTCGAACCTCCCCCCCTTTGGTTCATGGCCTCTTCAGGCCCGTTTAAACATTGCATGGTCTGTAACAATAAGATCCCTCTTTCTGACAGCCACTCTAAGTGCCTTTTTTGTCTCGGAGAAGCTCATCAAACCTCTTCCTGCCTCCACTGTAAGAACTTCAGGCGTGGGGTGCTACGCAGTCACCTTTCCAGGTTTAGACTTCAACTCTGAGAACCATCCCTCCAGCCAGGCAAACCTATGGCACAACCGACTTGCAAGTCCATACCTCACGCCATGGACAAGGCTGTTTCCAAAGCGGTAAAACAACATCCATCGGCCACCCTCTCCCATTTCAAAGAACAAGGGCCCCCTTCAACATCTACTTCAACCTTATCTCCTGCCACTCGACCTCACAAGACCAAACATTGAACATCAACTGCCTTGACATCAAACCTCCAGTCACCAAACAGAATGTGTTGACCAACTAGCCTTCAGTGGCCGAACCTCGTCCACTGAAAAAGGCCAAGTCCTCAAAGTTGAAGCCCTCCATCTACTTTGCAGCCACCTCCCAAGTCTGATTCACACATCCCAGCCCAGCCTCCCCACCCCTCACTCTAAAGCAGTGATTGACTTAACTGAAGGGTGAGCCTTGATGCCAAGGTACATACTCTTTGGGGGGAGAGGGGCTTGTACTAATGTATCTTTTCTGATCGCAGAAGCTCTAGAATATTCTAACAAGGCTCCATGTATGTACAGATCACCTAGAGTGTGAATCACAGGGGACCACTCGAAGAACTACAATTACAGGTAAGTAATCTGTTCTTCTACATGTTCCTGTCAACAGATTAACAGAGGCCACATGACTACAGAAGCCAAGAGGGCTGCAAAAATGGAGAAGAAGCTAAAGATCTTGCTTGGTGGTTATCAGTCCCGAGCAATGGGACTCATAAAGCAATTGAATGACTTGTGGGACCAAATTGAACAAGCTCATCTTGAGTTGCGCACATTTGAAGAATTAAAGAAACATGAAGATGCTGCTATTCCGAGGAGACTAGAGGTAACACTATCAAGCAATAAGTTTTTTGGTCATACGGAAGGGAGGGTAATAGTAAAGTTACATTAAATAATGTGATATGACAGGACACTGCCTCCATCTCCATCCTGGAAGGGGAAGTGAATATCGAAAGGAGTTTTAAAAGGTCATTGCCAGGTGTGAAATGCTGCACTCTTAACAACTTGTGCCTGAGATACGGCCTTTTTGGGGGGGAACATGCATTAAGTTGCAAATATTGGTGTTAATATCTGAGAAAGTAGACTTGACCACGAAAGCTCATGTTCAGCTATAGTAGTAGGTGTCAAAAGTTTTTCTATTTTTTCTTTGTTTGCTTTTTTGGTTTAGCTTAATATGCCTCCATCTAGTATTCATAACAACAAGAAAAATAGCAAGATTTTAAAAGTACAGTACAGTATAGTTTATTCTTTGAGTTAGATCTGTTTTACTTAGATTGTTTCATATTACTGTTTACCAGATCACCAAATTATCTTTTTTCTGATTTTGACATTTTTATTTCTCCCTACATTTTGAAACATCTCACTTAAAAAATATTAAGTGTGGCTTTACAAAATGTTGCTATCCCGTTGTTTTGGGGCGGAAATTTTCCAGTACCTAGTTTTTCCAGAGAAAACTTTTCCATAGCTCAGAATTCTATGGTGTCATGCAATCATGTAATGGCAAATGTGCATGCACTTTTTGTTAGGCTGTATGCCATGCTTCCTGCAATGACTAATAAGAGGAAATGCTGATGTGTTCATTGAACAGCAAGCCAAAGTGGAAACCACTTGTGCAATTACTCTCATGTACATGTTTTCCCCCCAGTTGTTTTTTGTCATTATTTCATAAAATTTATTGCTAACATTTAGTGGGATGCAATATAGTAACATGCAAGATTGGTAGGTTAAAAATGGTTTTAGCCTTCAGAGCCATTCTTTTATTCCTAAGGAAGATTAAAATCAGGACCCATAGTGTTTGTGCTCTAGTTGTTAAGAGGTTAGTTTTTTCAACTGATTATCCTTAGGAAGTTTGTGAAAGTACATATTTTTTAAAATAATTTATAGACAAGGAGTAAAATAAACTGCAAATGCACATAATAATTCAAAGAAGTATAAGATTATGAAGACTATTATTTGCTGTGCCAATCAAACCAATTCTAAAACTGAACATGTGACTAATATTTATTTCATTTTCAACAAATACACAGCATAGTGGTTGAATTTTCTTTCTTGAAGTCGAGGAACTTTTCATCATCACAACAGCTCTGTATGTCTCTGATCACGGCACCTTGTGGCTCTCTCATGTAGATACTGTGTGGTACACATATATGTTTTAGGTTTATAACAAAAAAAGAAGGCAGATATGCTAAAGATGCTTGCAGAGACAAGTAAGAGTGAGAATAACTGTCCTAAGAATATGCTGGCCAAAATATTGTGGAGCATGTTCTTCCTGTGCAATGGGAATAATGACATCATCCATGGCAGATTGCTGCTGATTGTTGTTGTGTGCTATCAGGTTGCCTGTGACTTATGACAACCCTATGAATGAACAATCTAAAGATTTCCTTTTTCAATACCAGAGCACACATTCTGTGTGAGTCATGCACTTACAGAGATCGAGAAGGAAAGTCTTTAAGGAGCAACAGTATAACAGTTTTGTCTTTCCCGTGTTGTGGGCAGAACTACAATAATAGGATTTGGGGCACTGAGCTTTGTAGGCAATTTGGAGTTTGAACCTTGTTCTCTTTAATTTAGTTCTTGCCTGACTCTCTAGCTACTGTATTAGACATTGTAGGTCAAAAGTTTATCAGCTGTTGGGACATTTAATGGTTCTGCTCTGTTCACATAATGTGCTAAATCAAATCACTTGCATGTAGAGTACTGGAAATTTTTTCAGAAAACCATATTATTGCTCCACGTTGTGATGCTGAACCTCTCTAGCACCCCACAAAGGTTTGCAGTCATGAGATCTTCGTCCTCTCCTCCAGTCCCTTTTCTTTGTGTATCATATCTTTTTGTTCTTCTTTGTGGCCTCTGTGAACCACACAAATGGGTTTTACTGCGCCTGCGGAGGACTTATCTGAATATTCTAGAGCTTTAAAAGACGTGATTAATAGGACGTTGCCCCATGGCGCGCATGCTCCACCCACCTGTATTACCTCAGTTCCTTTTAGCCACCGCTGAAATCAGACTTTTGACCTAGAGCTTGTGATTTTTATTCTTGATTGTTAACAATATTCTGAATTTTGGACTGATTACGATTACTCTTCTGCCCAACAGACTAAATTAAGTTTTTCATTTTGGACGTTTCCCTGTGAGTTATTTTATTTGTTTTTTCCCCTTCCCCCCCTTCCTTCCCACCCTTTTTTATGGCCTCCTCAGGCCCTTTCAAACATTGTGCGACATGTGCTGGTAAAATTCCATTCTCCAATGGCCATGATCGCTGCTTATTTTGTCTGGGTGAGAGCCATCAAACACAAAACTATGCAGAGTGCCAGAAATTGACTAAAGCAGCCCTAAAACCCCTACTCCAACGCCTCAGACCCCATTTGTGGGAGAAATCCTTGGCACCAGCCAGTCAGCCGACTAGCCCTACTATGGAATTCACCCCAATTCCACTGACTTGATCTGAGTCTTCTATCCTGGTGGTTCCCATGCTGTCACCAAGAACTTCCTCAAAGGTTTCTAAATCAAAATCACCATCAGTATCGACGTCGCGGTCGAAGACCTCTTCCATTTTGGCCAAGACCCAAGCTGGAAAAATTAAGAAAGAAAAAGAAAAGATCAAACAGAAGAAAACCAAATGAACCCCTAAGCTACATTAGCCTAGGGAACCCCCAGTGGTGCAGTTATCCCTTCCGTCACCAATTTTGGAGGAATCACCTAGAGAGGCTCCAGACCGAGGTGTTGCCTCTGAAGCGGGAGAGTCAAGGCTCCCTGCTCAGGCTCAAGCGTTGGTTTCAATTCCGAGCTCATCACCCAGTCACAGCCATTCAGAGGCAGATATCCTATCCAGCCCGGCCTCGCCCATTCTAGCCCTGCTTCTACTGGGTGGGCAACCATTATACACCTTTCGAACTCTGAGGCATTGATCTCACAGTCTCCTCCAAGAAAGAGGATGACAAAAGACACCATATCTTTCCTCCACCACAATATTGAGAGGTAATATTCATCCTGCGTCCCTTTTGACACTGGACCCGTCATGGATATGAACAGCCTCCTTACGATACCGATCAGTATGGTGACCACCATCGGTATAGATACAAGCACTACGATTCAGTTTTTCCTGCAGAATACCATCAATATTGCAAACGTGTATGACATGCCTACTAACCACCTTCACCATCTCCTATCTGGAGTCGGCGTTGAGTCAGTATCGAGCCTGTTCCAGCGGCTAAAAGGTCAAAGCATTGGGTGCTTGTCACTGAAGTACTCTTTGTGATAGAGCTCCAGATCAACATAAATCAACTCGTTGTGAACCAACTCAACCAAAGCACTCTTCAGTACCAATGACATCAACTTTGGAACACAGTGTCCCTCTATCTACATCATGTCCTGATCTTCAGGTCTCAGCTCCTCTGGTGTCAATCTCTAGCCATCGTCATCACCCTCCATCACCAACCCTTTCAATCTCTGAGCACTCTTCAGTATCTTTGGTTTCTGATCCACACACACACACCCCCAGGTATCTGGGAAATCATCTTCACATCTACCTACCCCAGATACAGATGTTGCTGATGTACACCCACCATCCCCTTCTGAAGATTTTACTTCCTGTGCTCAACTTATTTTGCGTATGGCCAAGTCACTAGAATTGCATACTGAACAATCAGCTTCCGCAAGCATGATCTTATTTTTGAAGACATCAGTCAGGAAAAATCTCCACCATTGAGTTTAACATTTATCCTAGCAGGGATGGACCTTATTAAGGAGTCTTGGGACAAGTCTTCAAGATCTCTACAGATTCCCAGACGAGTGGAGAATCACTATCACACCCAGGGCACCGATACATCATTTCTGATTAAACATCCTCCGCCAAACTTTGTCATTGTCCAGTCAAACCAATCCAGAATGGGCAACCGATCAGTTACCCCTACCAATAAAGAAGGGAGAAAACTAGACATCTTAGGACGCCATTGTACTCGCTGGCTTCCTTTGTGATTAGGGTATCCAACTACCAGGCCACCATGGGTGCATACAAGGCAGCTGTTGAATAAAATTCTGCCTGTCCTCCAAACTGCCCCGGAGGACGTCATCCCGCCCAACCTCCTCGTTGTCCGTCACTTGTTGTCTTGAGCTTTGTGGGTATCAGAGCTTTGACAGTGGCGGACATTCGGAACTGAGGTAATACGGGCAGGCGGAGCATGCGCATCATGGGGCAACGTCCTACTAATCACGTCTTTTTAAGCTCTAGAATATTCCAAGAAGTCCTGCACAGCCGCAGTAAAACCCATTTGTGTGGATTCACAGAGGACCACTCGAAAAACTATGGTTATAGGTAAGTAACTTCTCTTTTCTGTGCCTCAATGATAAACCTAAAGGTGGAGATTAGTTGATTTTTTTAAGCCTCATGATACGTGCATTAATTTGAGACTCCCTTCTTGCACAGATGTATTATTTGCTGCCACTTCTGATAGCTTTATGAGCTGACAATATTACACTTCTTGTTGCAGTGTCTCAAGGAAGATGTACAGCGGCAACAAGAGAGAGAGAAAGAACTTCAGCAGAGATTTGCGGAATTCATGCTGGACAAAGAAGCTTTTCAGTCAAAATACTAAATCTCACATTTGCTTATAACATTTTCAACTTCATTAACCATGTTTCACCATCTGCATCTTCAAAAATAAGGCATAGGCAAATTTGTTTCCAGATACATATTGTATTCTATATAGATTCATTGTACTATATTCTGATAAAGCTCACATTCTTCTTTCTTTGGGAGCATTTTTAGAGAGTCTTTTAGAGAGTTAAAATAAAACTCATACATCCTAATCCAGCAAGGATAATTTGCATACGCTAAAAATTGCCATGCAGCTTAAAAATTCCAGCACCTGGGATTTGTTATGTAGTGATCCTTCCTGAATCAGGTCCATATGTGTGCCCCTTAACAAATGGATATTCTGACATTAAAAGAAGAAATCTGATGGCTCTTATTTGCTGAAGTTACTGTTCCTTTGTGTACCTAGTATTGTTAAAATCTACAGGACATATACACTTACAATGTGTGTACCAGTGAGTGCTGTGAATCTGGGATGTAAAGCAATGTATTAAAGTGTGTTTGTACCTCAAACAGAATCTAGAACTCTTCATTAGAGAACCTTTGTTAGTAATATCTATCGTATATGTGCAAAGTATGCATCCTCAGATCAGCAGGATTTGTTAAGTGAAGAATTGAAAAGCTTATCAACAGTTCTGAAAGCAAAATGGGCAGTATACAAGCATGCAAAATGAGCATAAACGTAGACAAACTGTACAAGCAGTGCTCAGCTCTCTTTTATCTTTGAGGGACATGCAGGAAAACGTTCTGAAAGAATGTGCCCCAAACCACTAAAGCTTATTCACATTAAAATTCACTAATGTTATAGGTTATCAAATGTCAGATACTTTTAAAGGGGGAACAATATGGAAAACAAATGCTGTTGTGAGCAAAGATGAACACTTTAAGTGTAAGTTTGGGACTTGGGGACTTGGAGAGGTCTGTAAAAACTTAATGTCACTGTACCTAGGACACAAGCAAATGTACTGTTGCAAGGGAAATAATTTGGTTATATTGATTGAATCTTGGCTTGAATACGTTGCATTTTTCATCATTACATTTATTTTTTACAATACTGTTTATTACAGCTGTTCTGCATTATGCAACCAGCAGTAGTTTTAGCCTGTTTTTTTTAATACTTAGGGGCAAATATTTACAGGAATGAAAATATCTTTTTGGGTTTAAAATACCTGGTTCAAAGGTTTCTAGACTGGGGGCTCCAGGTATTCTTGGACTATAATTGTAGAAGTCATAACCATTAGTTATGCTACCTAGGACTTGTGAGAGTCATATTTTTCCAGCTGCCAGTGCTATCCCTCACAAGCCATGAATCAGTGCTGGAGGTTGAAACGCTTGAGGACATCAGTGTGGCTGCGCTAGTATAGCAAGAGATGCCAGCGTGTACTGCCTTGCTTCTAGCAACATAAGGCATGCCAGTCACTCCATGTACTCTCAAGCAATTACTCCATCACAGTGTTCCTCCAGAAGGTCAGAGGAACAGGAATGTGCAGGTATTCCCTGGGTTCAACCATCCACTTACGTTTGGCATTAGCATTATTCCTTTGGAATGGCTGCCCTTTCTGTTATGTTTCTGCACCTGCAGGTGCTTACTCTCCCACCTTTACATTTTCCTTTTGGATGGAAGCTTGCCAAACAGGTTGTACATCTGTAACATTTGTTCTTTGAGTGGTCATCTATGCATTCATGTTGTCCACCATTCGTCCTCTCTGCATCACCTGCTGGCAACTGAGCTACTGTAGCCATATCTTCCAAATTTTGAACTTGTATTTCAGTACCTGTGTGTGCTATACACTGGAGGAATGAGGCTACTGCAAAACATCTCAGTCTAGAAGGTTCAAAAGGGGTGACTCTGCAGGTACAGGCCCATTACTGCAAAGGCATAGATGACCAGTTGAAAAACAAACATAACAAGGTGCAACTTGTTTTTTAACTGCACTGCAAAAAACGAGGATGCCTCCATGGCTTTGGACAAGGGATATGTGCCAACTGTTGCCTTTCTATACAGAGAAACAGAAATCCACATGCTTAGTTTGAGTTAGAGTTTCTAATTTCAGCTGATATTCAAGCATCAGCACAACACTGAATCTAGAAACAAGTCATGAGAAACTGCTTTTATGTTGTTTATAAACAATCTGGACCATGCAGAAAAACAGGATGTGATAGAAAATTGCATGGAACTATAATGTACAACAAGGGTGAATCCTCCAGAGGTTAGATTGTAATATCCCTCACCATCGACTATGCTGCCTTGGACTGATGGGAGCTATACTCCAACAACATATAAATTGTCCAAACATGCAGTCCACATGCATAATTCGTGGTTGCCTATGCAACGCAGACCAATATAAAAAATTTGAATTGTGGATTTATTGCCAGATGCTCAGAATTACTTGCTTTGAGAGAATAGCCGATTCTGAAGAAGAAACCACAATCTCAGAAGAGAGAGTGAGAGAAAGAAAGAGAGAGAGAGAGGAGGCCATAACATTCATGCCAAAACACATTAGACATTTTAAACTAAAATTAAAAGACATGTATTTTTTCCATCCTAAGACTGGTTTCGCCTTCACAATCATATTCATTGGATGTATCTGTTCCTTTTGTTCCTTCCTTTGAGAAGATAGCCAAAAAAGTACTGATGCAAATAAAGATTTTTAAAAACCTTGGAACGTGGAATGCAGAGAGCTGGAATACCTTGATCATGGAATGAGAAACAAAGAATAAAGGTGGTACAACCAATAATCCAAGGAATGATCTGCCTTCTTTTCTGTGAGATCCTTTCACCAAAGGTGGAATAGGAAACAAATCAAGAAAAAAAGAAACTTCCTCTTTAAGAAGTGAGGTCTTGTGGGTTCACCATAACTATAGCTCCATGTGGGACCAGATATTCTTCTTCATGGTCTCTGTGAATGCACACTAATAGGTTAATCCGTGCTTGCGTGGAGCAGCCTTGGAACTTTCTAGCTGGAGCACATGCTGTCGGGACCTCCCCCACGTTGGCTATAACTCCACCCCCGGCACCGAGTGCCTCAGTTCCTTTCTACCGCTGCTGTTGCAGCTTCATTTGCAACTTCATGCGCTTATTCAAAACAAACTTACCTTTCTCTTTTTTCTTGGACCTCCCTGGCTTGACCCCAGACCATCAACTTCGCTTTCTAACTGAGTTTATCTATAAATGAAAAATTGGATTGGTTATCGTGTTATTTGGCTTCAAGTTTATGGCCTCGCCAGGGCTCTTCAAGAGTTCAAGTTCTTTGTGGCCTCTATGAATCCACACAAATGGATTTTACTGTGCCTGCACAGGACGTCTCGAAATATTCTAAAGCTTAAAAGATGTGATTAGTAGGACATTGCCCCGTGGCGCACATGCTCCGCCCGCCCATATTTCCTCAGTTCCCTTTAGCCGCTGCTGAATTTGGACTTCTTTTGACCTATAGCTTGTGATTCTTATTCTTGATTGTTAATGGTATTCCGAATTTTGGACTGATTATGATTACTCTTCTGCCTAATGGACTAAATCGAGTTTTTCATTTTCAGATATTTCCCTGTGAGTTATTTTCTTTGTTTTTCCCCTTTTACCCCCCCTTCCTTCCTGCCCTTTTTTATGGCCTCCTCAGGCCCTTTCAAACATAGTGTGACGTGTGCTGGTAAATTTCCATACTCCAACGGCCACAATCGCTGCTTACTTTGTCTGGGTGAGAGCTATCAAACACAGAACTGTGCAGAGTGCAAGAAATTGACTAAACCAGCCCTAAAACTCCCAGCCACATTTGGTAAGCCTGACTCTGCATTGAGGGAAGAGGACATGCCACTACAGCTGCTGCCTTCTTTCAATGATATCCCCTTCTGTCAGTGATATTCTCAACTGGGGTAACACCTCTTTGGAGGTTGTCAACTTGGTGCAGGCTAGGCCAGGTTCTTTGCTGGGCTCGATAACGCAGCAGCCCGCAGCTTCACTACCGCCGCCGGCTCCGACCGAGGTTCCCTGTAAGAGAACTCACAAGTCTTGACATCTGGAGCCACCTGAGCAACCAGACCCATATGGCCGACAGTTGGAACCCAGGGGGCTCCGTGCTTGTTGAGGCAGATGGCACTACTATGATTATCCGCCGTCATATGGGGCAGAGGAATTTGAACGGGACCTGCCCTTTCATCCAAGACCATATCATTATGACCCTTACCTTTGGTATCAAAACTATAAGATCTACGCTCAGCCCTTTTTGCCATCTCCACCTCCGTATCACAGATGGCATGAGTTTGCGCCTGCGGCTGAAGAAGGCTATCTTCCCCCGCCTCCTTCTCAACCTTGCAAGAGGCACTTGCTGCCAACCTCTACTACCATCGGAGATGTCAAACGATCATGGCTGGCATCCAACCCGGAGGTGGGTCGTGCATGCTATGATTATCCTTCTGTTGGACCTGAGGTGAGCCTGGCTCAAGCCCGAGCTGGAGAGGAGCTGCCCCCAGCTCCAATAGAGGAGACGCCTTATTCCCCCTCTCTCAATCGGGACTCCGACTCACAGATGTCAGAGGGACAGGAGGACTCACTGACGAACATTCCTACTCCTGTGTCAGATGTGGCAGACAACCCTCCCCCGTTGCCCTCAGAGAACTACTGCTAATCCCACATCATTCACCGGATAGTGAAGGTCCTTGAGCTTGATGTCAAGGTACCTACAGTCAAAAAGATAGATAAGGTGTATGAGGACATCACTCAGGAAGAAACTCCTCTGGTGCACCTCGGGGTCATTCCCTCCCTCTCTGAACTCATGAGAGAGTCATGGCTTAAGCCTTCCACATCCTATCAGATTCTGAGGAGGGTCGAGAATCTGTATAAAGCAGGGGTCATCAACCCCCGGTCCACAGCCTGGTGCTGGTCCATGGGTTAGCTGGAACTGGGTTGCAGACACAGATATCCACCCACCCACCCCGTGGGGCAGCCAGCCTGGGAAGCGCCCCGATGCACAGCTTTGCTTCTTTGCTTGCTGGCTTGCTCGCTCCCCACCCTCCCTTTCCAGGGAGCAGCCGGCTAACAAGCAGCCTCTCCCTCCCCGCCGCCTGCCTGTGTCCTTCATCTGCAAGAAGCCGGGATGTGGAACTACTTGCGGGGGGGGGCAAAGGGAGAGACGGCAATAGCCGAAGCCAGAAGGGGGAGAGAGATGGAGCTACTCTGCAACTCTTGCATCCCGGAGGCAGCACTTCGTGCACCCAGCTGGCCTGTTTGCAAAGTTGCTCCATCTCTCTCCCCCTTTTGGCTTTGGTTATTGCCGTCTCTCCCGCTGCCCCCCCCCCACAAGTAGCTCCACGTCCAGGCTTCTTGCAGAAAAGAGGACACAGGCAGGCAAGGGCGGGGGGAGGGAGACCAGCTGCTTGTTAGCCGGCTGCTCCCTGGAGAGGGAGGGTGGGGAGCGAGCGAGCAAGTAAAGAATCAAAGCCGTGCATCAGGGCATTTCCTGGGCTGGCTGCCCCAGGGCAGCTTCCCTGTAGGGAAGGGCCGCTGGGCGAAGCATTAGCAT